GTGTGTGATTAATAAAAGATTTTAAAACAAACATGCTTCTTTTATTTGCTCACTGACAAAATGCACCGTTTGTGTGTGTGTGTGTGTGTGTGTGTGTGTGTGTGTGTGTGTGTGTGTGTGTGTGTGTGTGTGTGTATATTTTTTTTGACTCACTTGTCTTGATTTTAACATAATTGAATTATTTGTTATGGTATTATTTTGTTTGATTCTATTTTATTTTTATGTCTTTGGCAATAATCTTGAAAGTAACATTTTTTTGTATTTTTTAAATTTTGTTCCATTTTTTTTCATTCAATGTTTTGTGTAACAAACATGAAGATTTTTGGTTTTTCTAATACAGTTAATAAAAAAAAAAAAAAAATTGCGTGATCCAGCACTACTCTCGACGTAAACATTTCATTTCATTTGTTGATGCATTGATGTAATCCATTTCTTTGTGTTCCGCCATGCAGGCGAAGTACCACGAGGACTTTGAGCGCGCCCGCGGTCGAGGTTACACGCCGGGCCTGGATGAACCCGGCATGGAGCGCTACCAGCGAGCCAATCACATGATGACAGACCCGGGTCCCAACCAGGTGATGGACACGGACAGACGACCCGGCGGCATCATCGTAGGTCAGCAAGCTCAAATTATTCACAAACATCAATCATATTTTTCAAGGGGAAACATCCTGCCTTCAATTGACTATTGATTGTTTTCTAATATTTATCAATTGGTTTATTTTGGCATCACTCCCGGCGTAGACCAATCGGTGTTTTTTGTGCGTGGACTCAATGTTGTTCCCGTCGTCTTTTAAGACCTGAAGGTGTGGAGAACAGATCCAGGCTCCATTTTTGACTTTGACCCTCTGGAGGATGACGTCCAGTCCAAGAGCCTCCGCAGGATGTCTGGTAGAACCTAGCCCTAACCCCCCCCCCCTGCCACATTGAGGCCCCCTCCCCACCCCACTAAAAGACAACCTCCCACTTTTGGTCATCTTCTCCCCGATCACTGAAGCCATCCGCCATTTTCTCCGCGGTTACACGTGGATGAGTTGGGGCCTAAAAACAACAGACTAATTCTCACGCCACCAGTCCCATTTATTGGCCTTCAGTGAAACCCACATGAGCATGTTAGCAATGTGCTAACCAGGCTGCGATTCAAACCTGGAACCCTCGGAACTGTTAGGCGATCATGCTAACCACCCGATCACTGTGTTGTCCCTAACAACTGACCTCAAATGAGTATGTTTGTAACGTAAGCAGACGGCATCCATCTTGTGTTCATTCTGGTTGACTTTTGCCTACTTCCTGTGTTTACTCGCCGGGTGGCGCCCCCTGTTGTCAGAGTGGGCTGAGCGCAGGCTGAGCAGGCCTCAGTCGCGGCAGTCTCACAGTTCGCTGACCTCTGACCTCTGGGAGCGCAGCAGCTGCGACACACCGGGTACATGTCAAGTGTGTGCGTGTATGTGTGGGTACGCATGGGTCTAATCACACGGTCACGTGATTGGTTGGAAAAGGACACGCTTTGAAATCACGCACGATATGACGTAAACATAATATCAAAACAGGCGAGTTGACAATGCATTTGACTAAGAAGTGTTAAAAAATAAATAAATGAATGAATAACAGATTCAGAAAAAAATGAATACATGCATTTTAATGACCAACTGAGCTCAGTGTGAAAGGATTGTTTTGAACTCTAACAGTTACGAGTCGCAACTGATACGTATTGAATTCCACAACATGGCCTCATCACTCCTATCTTGTGTGTGTGTGTGTGTGTGTGTGTGTGTGTGTGTGTGTGTGTGTGTGTGTGTGTGTGTGTGTGTGTGTGTGTCACACAGCCCCGGTTCTTCCCGGAGCGTACCACCAGGGCGTGCACATGCAGCCGCAGCCTCAGTATCACGGCTACATGCATCAAACCAGCATGTCGTCGGTCCGTTCCGTCACCTCGCCACCACACTCATCCGCCATGGTAAGTGCGCCCTCTTGCAGGCTGTAGTAAATCACTGCAAACACCACTCAATACACTTGATGTGAAATCACACAAGCAACAAACATGAGCATTTACGTACACTGTGTTTAATGTTAGCATAAAAATGAGGATTGAGCGATTTTTTTCCCTCTGTGTGTGCGTGCAGCGGGTTTACCGGGCGCTGTACGACTACGCGGCGCAGGACCACGACGAGGTCTCCTTCAGGGACGGTGACGTCATCGTCAACGCTCAGCCCATCGACGAGGGTTGGATGTACGGCACCGTGCAGCGCACCGGAAAGTCCGGAATGTTGCCTGCCAACTACGTGGAATGTTGCAACTAGACTCTTATCTATCAGAGGGATACGTGTGTGTTTGGATGCGTGTATATGTATGTGTGCCTATATATTTTTTTCCCACTCTTCATTCACATCACTTGATCACACAAACATATTTTGGAAAGACTGTCTTTGTATTTTCTATGATAGATTTCACAAATGCAATGAAATTGTGAGTCTTTTGTGAATTGTTTCATAGCAGTCGACTGTTTTCTTTGGTTTTGGATCATTTGAATTTATTACCACGCACTCTTTGAGCTTCGATTCAACTGTAATCGCATGTTATTTCACTTTATAACTCACCACCTACTTACTGTATGTTTTGCTGTGCCTCATCACACGCATACACATGGTCTTACATGAGAGAAATAAAACCATTTGTCAGCACAAATATCTTCAGTCAAGCGTCTTCATGCTCTGAATAGCAATTCAAATTGTTGTTTGGTTAAGGGGACATCGAGTCATCCATCTTCCAAACATGTAACGCACACCCCCCAAAAAAAAAATCTTTAAAAAAACCTGATCAACATGTCGAAAATGGTTTTAATGAAAAATGCTGTAAGGGGGTCTCTAAGGAAACCTCCCCAAAAAAAAAACAAAAAGACAGCGTCATAATAATACATTTGTCTCTGATGGTAATTGTTTTAATAATAATGGCTTCGTGTCAAATTCGGCGTACGACGCTATTAAAACTATCAGTGAGTCGAACTTGCGGTGTAGCGCCACCAGGTAGCGGTAGTGCGCTGATTGCTACGTTGCTCGTCTCGTACGAATGAAGAAGCGGTGGAGTAGCGTAGAAGAAGAGAACCTGGCGTGACGGCTGTCCCCGTGTGTGCCTGTGTTGTGCCGTATGAATGATTTGATGTTAAAAATGATGTCATTTCTTCCCAAACTCCTTCTGCTGGCGTTGTTGGCTTTCCCGGCGCACGTCGTTTTCAGGGGTTTGTATGTTTTTCACCTTTTTGCGCCGCGAGTAGGAAAAGCGAGTGGCGTTGAACTCGGCGTTAGCTTAGCTTAGTTTATTTTAGCTTCGCCGCTTTCACTCCAACGAAGGCCATTCAGTCTCCGTTTGACATGTGCCGCACGAAGGAAACCATTCTTACAATCTTGAAATCTCGACTTTGCGATAGATTGGCTCACATTTTTTTGCTTCAAATCCCCCTCAAAAAATCGGAGAAATGTGCATTTGAAGTCAGTCCGCCTCCTTAGACTGACGTGTCCTTACTGCTAGCTGCAAGCAGAGTGGCTTGATTAGCTTGCCATTACAGTACATTTTCTTTAGTTAACTTGACCTCACTCGAAAGATAATTGATCAAAAAAAATTAATATAACACCACTATCCTTACATGTGCGGTGTCTTTCAGAGTGCTAAATCAAGAAACCAAAATGGAACACGCTTAAGCACATACACTCATTCACAACTGCACAAAATTTCACTTGACATTGATCGCTTATATTACAGAAATCCTTTAGCGAATATATTCCGTGCACCAGAATGCATAATTTCTTACCTTTCTGACACAACTTGTAAAGTCATAATATAAAACAATCAAATTGATAGTAGTAATTCATCGGCTTATAAATTACCCCCTTTTTATCTATTTTTTTGTCACTATCCTGCCCCACCAGTTGCACACAATCAGCAGAAAAGTGCAAAGTTTGTCACTGGAGTTATTTCAGCATTGCGTCACTCCTCTGTGCACACCGGCAGATAAACGCTGAGAGGAAGTGAGTCAATTTGGATTTCATACCAGTTACCACAGAGAGGACTTTACACAAGTAAAACATAGCTATCGTCTCTGTTCTGTGAAAAACACATGTCAATGTTTTGGTCATTAAAAAACAAAAAAAAAAAACGTTAATGGAGTCTCCAAAATGCAGACTGCTCAATTTGTGCGTGCAGGGCCGTTGGTGGGAGCCGAGATTCGGCGAGAGGACGATGACATGGACGTGATGGAGATGGAGGAAGACATCGTGGACGACGTCATAGACGACGGGATGGCCGACGACGGCGCGGTGGACGACGAGGACGACGAAGCGGAAGTAGAAGACGACGAGAACACGGAACTGGTGAGTTGAACCAAGGCGAACAAAATGTCATGAAAAGGAATGCAAGTGAACACCGTCGATCCAATGTGTGCTTGTAGATCGAAGAAAAGGAGGATGATGATGATGAGGAGGAGGAAGAGGCGTTGGTCGGGGAGATGAAGGCATCGCCTTTTGCCGACACCACCATCCTTTTTGTCAAAGGAGAAGGTTGGTTATCCTCCTTCTCGCTTGTACTCACGAAATGATCGACTGATCGTATAGCATCACATTGGACTGCTAGCTTAATGCTAACATATCATGGGAAACTCCATTGACAGGCTTATGTAAATTAGCATGGACGTCATGGTCATTGGAAACGTTCAAAGTGCTTCTTTGCAACACATACAACACATACAAACCGAGCAGACAACAAAAAGTCAGATTAAAAATACTAAAATAAAAACATCAAAACATTAAACCAATCCATATGGTACCACTAGCTTAATGCTAACAAATAATGAAAGACGTCAGAGACGAGCTAATGTATATTAGCATGGATACCACAGAAATTTTACTGTTTTAAAATACTTCGAGCCGGGACAATTTTTTTTGAATGGGGGGGGTGGATTTTCCACTGTCATTTTTTTTCTTTTACGTTGTAATGTACTTATAAAAACACACACATCCTAATGAAAGTCCGCTAGCTTAATGCTAACGTTGAATGTGAGCCGTCACAGGCACGCCACTGTCAATTAGCATATTACCAGTGGAGCAATCCAATGTTGTGTGTTCAGACTTCCCGGCCAACGACATCGTCAAGTTCCTGCTGGGCTTCACCAACAAAGGTTCCGAGAACTTCGTAGTGGACTCCCTAGACGCTTCGTTCCGATACCCGCAGGTAAGAATCGGTCCGGATCGGAGCGGACCGGATGAAAGTCCTCGTCATGATGTTGTGGTGTTCTTGCGGTTGGCGTCAGGACTACCAGTTCCACATCCAGAACTTTACAGCGCTGCAGCTGGGGACGGCGGTGCCGCCCGGGCGCCAAGCCACCTTCGAGTATTCCTTCATCCCGGCGGAGCCCATGGGGGGGCGCCCCTTCGGCCTCGTCATCAACCTCAACTACAAGGACAGCAACGTGAGTGCGTCGTCGCTGAAGCGACGCACGCCGTCATTTTGACATGACTTTCTCCCACAGGGGAACGTCTTTCAGGACGCTGTCTTCAACCAGACGGTCACCATCACTGAGAAGGAGGATGGACTCGACGGAGAGACGTGAGCATCTTCCTATTTTGGGGGTTCTTTTACTTTGAAACGTTTCAAAAAGTGGGCCAACCAACCCCCGTCGCGCTTCTTTCTGTGCTCGTCAGCGTCTTCATGTACATCTTCCTGTCCGGCCTCGGCCTGCTCGTCGTCGTCGGCCTTCACCAGCTGCTCGAGTCCCGAAAGGTAAGCCGGCCGCTGCAGAGCGCGACGCGCGCGGTTATGCCCCGCACATACGTTGAACGTGTAACTTTGTGCCTCCGAGCAGAGGAGGCGCCCGGCTCCGAAAGTGGAAATGGGAACCTCGAGTCACAACAACGTCGACCTCAGCTGGATCCCGCAAGAAACCCTCAACCAGATCAGTAAGCGCAACTCTACTCGTCACTCGACCGTAGTTTTTTTCCAGTCTCCTCTATTTTCTTCTCCACTTTGCTCTTGACTTGAGTCGAATTTTTCCACCTTGCTCTCGTCTGTCTATTCTTCCCTCTTACTCAACATTTCACTGCACTCTTCTCCTCGTCACTCTTTGCCCTTGAGCAATAAAAGTTTCCCCCACTCCTGCCGTCATCTCTCTAAAAATCCATCTCTGTCTTTAATGATCTTTCCAAGTCACTTTTGGCGATGTACGGTGCATGTTTTTTCTGTCGGGAGTTGTTGCCCCGCCCCCCTCCCTCCCGCTCTCTCCCTGATTGAGCTTTTCTGTGCATGGGGATCACTCACTTTCTTGTCTGGTTTCTCCCGCCGCTTCCCGTTCCCGGTCACGCCTTCAGTGCAGAGTCGCAGAGGTGAGGCCTTGTTGCATCCACAATACTCCCACTGATATTTCACAAATGTTTGCCGTCATGCCCGCACACAAATCACGGGTTTGCGCCGTCAAGTTTCGAAGGAAATTATGAACGTCGAACAGGCACTGGATGAGACCGATAGCGATAGCATCTCTTAAGACGGATACTCTCAAGTTGCATCGTCAGTCCGTCCGTCACTTGCGTCAATTTCATTTTGTCTGTTTTCTCCCCCCCTCAGACAAAGCGTCGCCCCGACGGTCTCCTCGCAAACGTAACCACAAACGCTCGGGGGGGTCTGACGAGTAAATGGGTCGCAAGCGACCCGGCGTGCCGCCACCACCGCGACGACAAGGGCGAGGACGGCAACGCCTCAACGTGGTCGCCGGCCGAGGACAGTAACCGCGAGTGCCATCATGTCGGGCTCCCCCCCTTCCCCCCAAAAAAAACTTTAACATGCTGAACGCTCTTCCACACGACACAGATTCAGCCGAATGGTTGTGTTGACACTGATGATAATCAAGATGATTTTTGGAAGACGCTTAACTGCTGACGTCGCTGTAGTGAAGAGCTGAGATGAGGATTGTCCACTTGGAAATTTTTCCATGCGAATTGATTGGAATAAGAATGTGCATAATTCACAGTTGGCTCTTAATAGATTTTTTTTTTTTTTTTTTTGGGAGACCTACGGGAAATCTGCGTAGGTCTCATGATTAACGTACAATTTGGCACTTTTTCAAAATTGCCCCGGTTTCAATTCGTCATGGAAATTTCAATGTTTGCAGCTCTCCACTAGAGTGTCATGAAAAAAATTTAAAAAACACTCTTTTGTTTTCTTAAGTGTTTATGTGATGCACTGATGACTCAAGACAAGTTGAACAGGATGATGATGATGATATTTGTTGACTGGCATGCACAGGAGCAAAAATGTCAGCTAATTTATTGGAAAGACATTTCTGGTGTGGGTAGGGTGTAATGTTTGTTTTACCACTAGAGGCGACACTGCTGACTTGCCTTTTTTGGGTTTTTTTTTGGTGTCAGAAGACAAGTACAGAATTGAACTTTGTCCTTTATGTCAAGGGCTATGTTCATTGATTATTTCTTTTCTAATTTGCTTTTTAATGTCCAGCAAATAAAGGTTTATTTGCATCTTGTGTTGTTCATTAGTCGTTTTTTAAGAAAAAAAAAAGATCACAATGAACAGTTGAGTTTCCCAACAAAGAAGTCTGAGTAAACACCTACTTAGTCTTTTTTTTTTGTTTAGTTTTTTTTTTGGGTGGCGAACTATGATCATTTTTTTTCTTAAGTCGTTTTTTTTTAAAACCAAACACCTTACAGTAATACATTTTTTCACAAATTAAAAGCATTTTATACATGGATTTTTTTTTTTGAAGCGACCATTTATAGTTAAGGCAAAACAAAAAAAAAACGAGCGTACCTTCAACCTTTAGGGCACTCATTGATATTCTACGAAATAAAAAAATGAACTTTAGAGTGTCAATGGGGGCCAAAATCAGAGTTTAATTCTGTTCTCAACATTTTCAAACATTTCCAATGTATTGCAGAAAATCTTGTTCAATGGTTGTCAAAGGTAAGGAAAACCAGGTTGCTATTGGCTAAGACATATGTTGGCAGAATGTGTCACATCTGCCCCGAAAAACAGCCAATTATACCATAGTAAGAATTAGTTGGTCAAAATACATTTTTCTTTCTTGATCCTGACAAATAAACAAAAAAAAAACCAAACGTGTCATTAACAGACTTGGAAACATAGATTTTTAAAAAAATGTTGTCTTCACACCTATTACTGCCCTCTGGTGGTGATTTCGTGTCTCGTAATAACCAAGGTTGACGCCTTGAAATCTAGTCACACCTTTCAAACTTTTACCACGTTTACTCAACATGCTGCCATGGAGAAGAAAGTTGTCGATTATTTTTATTTTTTTTTGCACTTCCAAGGGTTTCCCCTGTCTGTCCGCAGCAATCATTTGGATTTGATTTCGCTCCCCCTGGAGGCGGCAGGGAGCTCAGCAGCCTTCGCAGGATATCGTTGACGCCTCGCTGCCATGACAACGGGACAACAAACACACCTGGGAGAGTCAATCAGCAAACGCTCGCGCACAAACACGAACCCCTTTAAAAGCCCCCGAATGTGTGAATAGTTTGTTAAATGGAATAAAAACAGAGCGCGGCTTACTATGTTAATCGTTTTCACTGCGTGTCAAATCAATTAATGAGGAGGAAAAAAAACAGGTTGTATGACATAAGAATGAGAGGCAGCGATTGTGGTAGAAATAATAGGCAGTCAACACTAGGGGGAGACTGTCGTACACTTGACACAGTTGCATGCTGGGAAGTGAATCCATCCATCCATTATCTAATCTGTTTATCCTAGAAGGGTCGCGGGCGTGCAGGAGCCTATCCCAGTTGTCTTCGGGTCGTAGGCGGCGAGGGAGGGGGGGTCATTCCCCCTCGAACTGGTTCCCAGCTAATCGCATGGCACGCATAGACGAACAACCACCCGTGCTCTCACTCACACTTCTTGACAATTTAGAGTAAACAATTAACCTGCGTGCATGTTTTTTTTTTGGGGGGGGGCGCGTTGTGAGAGGAAACTGGAGTACGAGCAGAAACCTCACGCAGGCACGGGGAGAACATGCAAACTCCACACAGGAAGGCACTGTGAGACGGACGTTCTAACCAGTTGCCCACCGTGCCGCCAGGAAGTAAATCATGGTGCTCAAAAACGACCAAACAAAAAGACGAAGCTTTGGCAAGTCGTATTATATATCTGGACCAGAAAGGTGAGCTGAATTTAAACTCTTTGCTTTAACACTTTCCCCCTCCCAAATCTCTTGAAAGTCTTCACGAGTTAGCTCGTTTGTGTTAATTCCTACACAGTTAGCAAGTTCATGCTACTTTATATAGTAAGCTAATTTGTAGTTTTTGGGGGGTTTATGTTACTACTTAGACCATTAATTAGTTTTTACTTTATACACTTTTGGTTAGTTTATATTTCTTTAGACACATTTATATCTCATTCAGAATTCATGCTAATTTATACAGCTAATTCATACTACTTTATACCTATACAATTAGCTCGTTTACGCTTGTTGATGACGTCACATGCACTTGTTTATCGTACAATAGAGTTGCCGGAACTAGTTTTACTGACAGTTGTCTAGTTTCTAGGCATTTGACGAGTGTTTACAACTTGATACACCGCTATCTTGTACTTCTTTAATTGTTATAGATTCGAAACGTTTTGGCAGTTGGTGCGATAAAGGGTTTTTTATGCTCTGACGTCATATTGTGGAAGCGGGACTTCGCGCGTGTACGAGAGCAAGGCGTAACCTCGCGATACTTATCCCCTTTTTTTCCTCTCTCTCTCTCTCTCTCTCTCTCTCTCTCTCTCTCTCTCTCTCTCTCTCTCTCTCTCTCTCTCCCCGGCGTCCAGGGGCAATCAAGCGTCCTGGGTGGATGTTGGTGCTCGTGTTGAGTCGGGCTGGCGGCCCATTGAGAGCAGAGCAGACTCGCGGATCTCCAAACAACTTACTGTCCACTCCTCTTTTCTTTCTTTCGGTCTTTCTGTCGTTTTTCCTCTCTTTTCTTCATCTTTGCCTGAGGCGCTCGTGCACGTGAGCAACAGCTGGCGCGCGCTCGCTTGGAGGACTTCTTTTTCTTTTGATTGATTGATTGATTGATTGATTTTGTAGACGCTCGTCGTCCGCGGACACTTGTCCATCTCCTCATCCTCCTTTTGATTCACATCGCCCTCTTCTCCCCATGGCTGGATATAAAGACTGAGAAGCTCTCGGGCAAGCGCGCGCACGTGCACGCGCGACGCGATGTGAAGGCGACGACGTGCACACTTTTTGCTTTGGAAACACTTGACACGTGAGTAGCACTTTTTTTATGTGAAAGGGGAACTTATGCTGAGTTTGTGCTTTTCAACCTTTTAAAAAAAATTATTTTCACACGTTTGATTGAAAGCCAGATTTTTTTTTTCTTTGCTTGTTGGGACACTTTGGCTCCTGGGGGACATGCAAGCGTTTCCTGTGTTCCTATGCAACCTGCCTGTACTCTTTCCATTCATTAACATCCTTGCCATGCGGCGTAATTATTCCCATAATAATCATTGACATTGTTTTTTTTACATTACATTACTTTTTCCATTCTTTTGGAATCTCTTAGTGCAGCCGGATTCTTACGATAATTATTATTATTCTTTACATAACATTCTTCTTTCCATTTTGTAACATCCCTGCTCCTGCAGTTTGATTTTTAATAATAAATAATAATAATAATAATAATAATAATAATAATAACAATGTTTCTGTCCAGTCGGTACGATCCTCTCCGTTGCAACCTGAATATTTCAATGTAAATTATGATCATTATTATTTTCATTGATCAAAATCTCTCTTCATGCAAGCAAAACTAATTACAAAAATAATTATTATGGTTATTCATAATAAAATTAATGATGCATTTCTCTACTGAAACAATTTGGAGGAGCCCTGTCTGTCTGTGTGTGTGTGTGTGTGTGTGTGTGTGTGTGTGTGTGTGTGTGTGTGTGTGTGTGAGAGAGAGAGACATATTTGCCCGCTGAACTTTGACCTTTCATCTTTCGCCTGCCGACAAACAAAAGTGTTACGGTCACAACCTTAACATAAATGTAAGGACCTTTGACCTCAGAGTGTCATCCGATCCTTGGTCTGCACAGAAAGCGCCTTGGTGGAGGTCACGTAACCTCGCGAAGCATCGTCGTTGTCGTTTTTGTGGCTGCGTGTGCGGCGTTTGGCGTCATGGCGGCGGGCGCAGTGAGGAAAATGAGGAAACCCATGGAGGAGGTTCACTGTGGGAAGGAAGGATAAGGAATATTTGTCACATGTGTGATGATGATTAGAGATGAAATATGACATCAACCCGATCGCGCGTAGCAGCAATGTGAATTTCTGTTGATCAAATATGATAATGTTCGTAAGAAAACATTTTAAAAATACTTTAAACACCTTCAAACTTAGTAAAACACACTTTCAAAGTGTTCCCTAGACAAAAGAGAATCAAAAATGGCGTCTTTAAATACCATCATGTTGACACCAAGCAATAGGGCCCGCTAGCTTAATGCTAACGTATCTCGTGAAATGCCATAGACAGGCTATTACAAATTAGCATCGATGGATGTTGCGGTGATTCAAAGCCTTCAACGAACAGCTAGTGTTCAGTCGTGTGGAGCTAATATGCAACCTGGGAAAATGGCTGCTCGGAAAAGTCGTCAAGTTGGCAACACTGAGATGTGCTTCTGTAAACTAGCTCAGCCAGCTTGAAACTACACAAAACAAAAACAAAAGATGGGGGTGGGGGGGAAAAATCATCCTGACAGAAAATCGATAAAATGGATCAATCGCGGAGCCCTTTGTCTTCGTCATCATCATCATCGTCTTCTTTTTCTTTTTTGGGGGGGGTGGGCGGGGTGCGAGAATGAAAAACAACAGCCAAAAAAAAAAAAAAAAAACAGACGCCAATAAACATCCTTCCAATTTCTTGAGCACTTTTCCTCCTTACGTACGCTCACAAAGTATTTGTACTTGGTTTTGGCGATGATGGTGATAGAGATCAAGGGAGTGAGGGCGGTCTCAGGGGGTGGGGGGGGTCACGCTGCGACCTTGAGTGCGAAAGGTCTTTCCCCCCTTCCCCGGCGAAGACGGCGTGATCATTGTGCCGCTTGTCAACACACCACGACCACAACAGGTGGTCGCCGCATGCATTGCATTGGTGCGTGCGTGCGCCGGCGCGCGAGGGTGCCGTTTGCTCAGAGCGGCGGTGGCGGCGGGCATGACCTTTTCTCCAACATGAGTCGTTGTTTGACGGACGAGGGAGCGCCCCCCCCCCCAACCCCCACAACCCACCTCGCCCTCCCCTCCGCGTATTCTGTGCCCGCGTGTGCGTGTCGAAGGTATGAAAAACTCGAGAGCAGCTGTCAGCGTTGCCTTTACATCCGTCCTCTTTTCGAGCGTCCATCAAATCAAAGTTGAGCGTTGACGTTTCCCCGATGGCCTGTTGTTTAAGAATTTCTCGCTTTGCGTTTTTTTTTTTTTTTAAAGTTTCACCTACATGTGAAGAGGTTGTCAAATCACTGCGCGTACACGGACAGCCACAAAACTGCCAGAAAAGAGACAAATGTATTTGTTTGTGTGTGTGTGTGTGTGTGTGTGTGTGGGTGTGTGTGTGTGTGTGTGTGTGTGCATGTAGATATGTGTGTGTTGGTTTGTGTGTTTATTTTGTGCGTGTGTGTTCTGTTAGTATGTGTTTGTGTGTAGTGTGTTTATGCATGTTTTTGTGTGCGTGTGCATGTGAGTTTATCACTGTGTGTGTCTGTGTGTGTATTTGTGAGGTCATCTGTTGTGTAGGTTTGCTTTTCTGTGATTGTGTCAGCATAAATTTGTGCGAGTGTTCTTATATGGAGTTGTGTGTGTGTGTGTGTGTGTGTGTGTGTGTGTGTGTGTGTGTGTGTGTGTGTGTGTGTTTGTTAGTGTACTTCTCTTTGTGCTTTTGTGTGTATGTGTATGGTGAGTGTGTTTTTGTGTTTAGCGGGGTCTGTGCCTTGGTATGAGTGTGTGTGTGTGTGTGTGTATTGTTTATCCTAACAAATTGTTTACACACACATCAGGATGAAAACTTCAGGAGCTGCCCATAGCCTTTTAGTTGTTGTTTGTTGTCATCTCCCTCTCTCTCTCACACACACACACACACACACACACACACACACACACACACACACACACACACACACACACACACACACACACACACACACACACACACACACACACGTCTAGCCGCTCCACGAGTGCGCTGAATTGTCTTACTCTTGAGGATGGAGTGTACTAGTACATGGACAGGAAATCGAATAAACGCTCAAATGGCTTGCCACACACACACACACACACACACACACACACACACACACACACACACACACACACACACGCAAGCACACACTCGCAAGCACACACGTGCCCTCGCGCAAAGTTGCATTGCGTGTGACGGCGCGTCAGTTCTTGCCGAATTCTTCTCCTAATCCGACACTTTAATGATGCTGTCGCTCTTCGAAAGACTCTTAAAAGCCAACTCGTCAACTCTGCGCGCAGACGTCGGAGTCAGCAAAGCCGCCCGGCACGCTCGGCGCCGCGCGCGCGTCTGGCAAGCAAAAGCAAAAGCCCGCTCTTGCAAAGTGTCACCTCCGCGTCCCGCTTAACCGGCTCGCCGTGCTGCGGCTTTTCCTGGCTTCACCCCCCTCCCCCGCCCCCCCAACATTTCAAATGTTTCGTAACGACGTCAACACGACTAAACGAACGAGCACCGTGTCGTCATACCTTCAGCTAGCTACAACTTGGCTAACCCGAACCTCAAAAGCTTGCACTTCCACGATGCGTTTGCTCCGTGTTGGCGACGAATCTCCCTGCCGTCATTTTTTTATTTTGCGACGCAGTCACTTCATGTGACACCTCCACTTTTGGGACTTGCCCCTCACTTCACGTGACGCCCCTCGTTTTGCGTGACGCCCTCACTTCATATCATTGCCCCCCACTTCATGTGACACTTCACTTGAGTGACGCACTTCCTTCATGTCACATCGTCACTTCATCTCACGCCCTCACAAATATTCAGAATATCTTTTTGTGTGTGTGTGTGTGTGTGTGTGTGTGTGTGTGTGTGTGCGTGTGTGTGTGTGTGTGTGTGAGATGGTCGGGGGCAGGAGGAGTGTTGTTATAAATCACACCTTGTGGAGTCGCCTGCCTCTCAATCATCACACAATCATTGAAATATGATACACACACACACACACACACACACACACACACACACACACACACACACACACACACACACACATCATCTCACTTTCACCAGCTTCTACCTGTTCATCAGCACGCTATACTTTGGTCCCATGGGTGGCATCTGTTACTATGGCAACAGTTGAAGCCAAGGAAGCGGATATGCACACACACACACACACACACACACACACACACACACACACACACACACACACACAGTTGCACCCATACTGGACCTTAAAATGGTTTGGGGCCAGCAAAAGTGGGGTGTGCTTGATTTGATTACTTTTTTAAAATTTATGTATTGATCTGATATTGACTCATTTGATTGGTTCTGTCTCCCGTCATCATTTGTTGACCCAGCCATGCTAATATTAGCGACACGCGCGGAAAGTACACAGCGAAACCTCCCACGTGATGCTAGCAGCTAAATGCTAGCGACGTTGCGAGTCGTGACCGAGGTTGAGTTTGACGATCGGACCGCTTTAAACAAGTCATGTGACACGAAGAAGCGACGCATACTTGGCCCCCCCCCCCCCAATCCTCTCTCCCTCCTCTACCTGTTTGTCACTTACACTGCTGACAATGTGAATCAGATCCAGGTCAAGTTTTTGGGCTCATTTTGTGGCTTCTCATTTTTGCACAATAGGGTAAATAAAGCTAAAAGTCATCATTAAAAAAAAAAAACCCTCATCGACTGGCGGTGAGATTTAGTTTTCGATGACATTGCAACGGTAAATGTGACTCCGGTGTTCGGCGGGCTGCACTAAATCAGCGGCGCCGTCCGTCCGACATGTTAAAACACTTTAGTGCCTGATGATTTATTTTGATGAGGGGCGGCCATGTCAACCTGGCTACTTCCTGTCAGCGCTCGTCGCCTTCGCCGTCCTTCATCCTCTATCTCGGTGCCGTCGGATGACGCTCGTGTCACCGAGGCTTTTCGACTTTTTTTCAAAAGCGGCCGTGATGTTTGTTTTCGGGGCACCGCGGAGGGGGGTTCGTGTTTCACATGCTTGCCTCACAGTGCTGAGGATCTCGGTTTGAATCCGGACA